CAGACTATTGTTTTGGTTTCGCTGCCTGCTAGTGTACCTTTTGGTTCACTCTCACTTGTCATCAGTGTCGTGTCCAACTTCAGCGAGCAGCTTTGTTTACGTCAGAACCCACTATATGCTACATGTCAGAAACTAGATGATAAACACAGCCTTAAGCATCCCATATGTCAATCAGAAGTTAGTGGAGCTGGAAATATTGGACTTTAATTCTGAACGTGCATGGACACAAACACAACCAGAGTTTAATATTAATGTTGTGCCATTTCTTCTTGATACACATTAACCTTAAAAGTAGATGTAATTGTTGTCATGTCTATGATAACATATGTCTTTGCCTTACATGTTAACAGCTTTGTAACTCAAACCGAGCCACCCGTCACACATTAGAGCATCGCAGCATCTCAAACCAGGCTGTGTTGTTTACACGCACGCACACATAATTTGAATAGCACAAAAAAAAACCCTCCAGCATACCAGTAAATGCCCTATTTGGCACTTTCCCAAGATGCTTTTGAATGCTTTCTACCACACATTTGCAAACTTTGTTTTACTTTCAAAATAAAGCGAATCTATTCAGAGGTGCCAAAGTAAGTGAGATTACAGCGAGCGTCTCATGAAATATGCTGGAACCTGTTGCCGAGCTTCGTCCGCTGAGCAGCAGCTCGACGCACAGCCTCTGCTGCCCTCACAGCAAACGGCCAACTTTTGTCAGCCAGCAGATGTTCCATTGTTTGGCTCCGTGGTTTAAGGTTGCTTCAGTTGAAGTTGGGACACTTGCTGCATCTTTTGAATTTAGCCTCTTTGAGTGCCGTCACCGCCACCAGGCCCCCTCCTCCACCACCCGATACCCAAGCTACTCAGAGAGGGGGGCTTTACCCCTCCCCCCTATCCCCTTTAACCCTCGACAGACCTCATAGTTGTTGTCCCACCACCACAACTACAACCCCCCCACACACACACACACTCTTCTAGATCTCTTCCACTCTTTTGTCTGGGCCTCGGTCAGACCTTCACTAATCAGCACCCCACTACCGCGCTCGCAGGCCAATTTATTGACCAATTACCGCAGCGTGGGGCTGTATTTGCATCAATATACATTCAAAAGCTTAAATGCAGATCCACACACCCCCTCAGTGTCTGTTATCAGATGGTGAATGTATAGTGTATAGATGCCTCTGTTTGCCTTGCATGCTTACAATTCCTTCTTTTCAGCCCCGTGTCTGAATGTGACTGCTGTTGTCGTCAGTGACCACCACTGTGGAGCTTATGTAATAATCACTGCCCTGTTTTCCTCTTGCCCACTATAGGCCTGTGTGTGTGTGAGTGTGTGTGTGTGTGTGAAAGACTGAGAGAGACAGTGTAATAAGATCTAGGAAACACACAGGCAGCACAGACTTCCTGTTTTTGTGTCGAACCCATTGGAGGCAGGAAGCGAGAGGAGCTGCCGCGCTGCTTTCTTTCTTTTTTTGTTGTTGTTGTTGTTACTCTGCGATGGGTGAATTTTGCCAAAAGATAATTTGTGCTCATTCAGGTGCCACCCACTTATTTATGCTGCACATTTAGGAGGGTGGGGTGACTCTGGGCTTCTGCAGCATCTCTGAAAGCTAATAACAGCAAATCCAATTATGTCACTCGAGCGCGTTGTGGGTGCGGGTAAATGTCTGGGATGCCACCTCAGCAAATGACCTTCGTATGGGTCCTCTGCATCGGTGGTGGAAGGTCGCCAGATCGTATCTCAGCAAGAAAAGGAAGGAAGGCCTTGATTCGTGTGCGATAACATCATGTGTGGCCGTGGGTTTTTTATAAGAAGGCGTAGGGTTCAAGCCAGAACTGGGTAGAACCTCAGTAAGAACAAAGAATCTGGTGGTGGCAAACATGCCTGAGTGGCCTCTTTGAAGGACTGATTAAGGTTATAATAGTCATCTGCTTTGCCTCAAGCCTTCAGGCTGTGTGTTGGTTGGTGGTGGGGGGGTGGGGCCTGATAAGGGGTAGAGGGGGGGTAGTCCAGGCTGTTACCCTCTTTGTTCTGGCCCGCTCCACTCATGCCTCCTTTTGTCTCCACCCACAGTCTACCACTGAGAGAGCATTATCTCTCTAGCTGTCTCGCGCCAAAAAGGGAGGGGACGGCGTGTTGCTTTTTTTTTTTCCTTCCAGCTTTCTTTCTGTTTCCAGAGGTACGTTTTTTGCATCTGACAGGTTTCCAGGGCAACTGCAGGTATAGAGTAGGTGTGCAAAAAAGCTCCTTGAGTCCTGCTCGTACAGTCCCCGGCTCCCTCTTTCTCTTCTGTTTTCTGTGTGTCTCTCTCTTTTTCTCTCTAGCATTTCCCGCCACTCCGGCAGGGGAGGGGAGTGGTGTCACAGCCGGTATGAAGAAAGGCTGGCTCCTCTGAGCCTCGCGCCAAATGCCGGTGTTATTCAAATCAACTCAGTGGGTGCGGCCCAACTGTCTCCATGTCCTGTTAACCCCCTCCGAGCTCCAGACTACAGCACAAAGGCAGACACCAGTGTAGGCTGAGGGCTTTGCTTCTTGAATGGTAAATGTATCCCTGATGTTTCACAGATACAGCAGAGTGGGAAGTCTTTACTTGCTGCCAACTTTTGACATAAAAAAAAAAAAGCAGTAATTTGGATCAATTATTAACTTTTTTGCTCTTTCAGGCATAATGTAAAGCTTTGATAATGTCACATTTTACAAGCTTTTCTTTTATAAAACAGGGTGTTATTATCTTTTGAGGAGCATATATTAGGTTTATTCCTCTAAAGTCATAGTTTTATTAACAATATTCATCACACTGAACATTCCTGTCAGCATGTATTCTAGCTTTGTTTCTAAAGTTTAGGTGTTTAAAGATTTGATGCTACTGAGGTTTTCAGATCAACTTCCTTTCTCACACTTGCAGAGTTTCTCTTTCACATCCTCTTTGTCTACAACGCCCCGAGGAATGAATGAAACCGTGAAGCTTTCAGAGCACACCGAAGGCTGACTGAGCTTCTACTACACTCTAGTGGCTGTAGCCTTAAGATGCACTGAACACGCAGCGACGGTTTCTTCTGGATTAACTGTTGTTCCTTTTGTATTCAATCCACATATCTCCACTGCCGGGACACACAAGTTGTAGATTGTAAATAATTTTCACCTCACAACATTTTTTTTTTTAAACAAAAAACCCTAAAATCCTGAAAACATTGTATTTGTTGTTACTCTTACCATGAAGGTTTTGTAGTGATTAATCAATTATGTGTTCCTATAGACACATAGAGGAGCACAAAGGCAGGAAATGACTGTTTTGTCCCACAATTATGACAAAGTAGGGAACTATTGCTTCTGCTCTGGTGTTGGCATCTTAAACCGGTTTAAATCATTTGAACTGTGAAGCTTTGAGCATTTAAATAATGCTTCAGAAATGGGTCAAAAACTTTTAAAATGCTGAGGCAGAATGTTTATTTGAGCCTGATTCATCTTAAAGTGCCTCAAATGTAACTTATATTAAACAGTTAATTCAACTTATTTGAATAATTATTGAGTTTTAAAAATGCAAAACCAGTGGAGTTGAATTGATTAATCTTGAGAAAACAATAATAAATAAAACAATAAACATGAAGTTGATTGAACATCATTTGCTTCAGTGACATCTTCTCCGAGTTTTATCGGATGCTTTATGATGTCACATGATACTTGCAAAGTATGAGAGCAGACGGATAAAACGCTATTAGAGTTGCTTAGAATCCAGACAATAAAAGACACATAACCTTGATTTGTCCTCAGTAAATCAATAAAAGCTCTTTGCGTCTGGTCCCCGGAGAGCCTGGAGGAGAGTGTGCGGTTGCAGTCGCACAAACACGTCGGTAATGTGGCCGCAATCACAAACGGCACTCTAGACTGCTGGCTTCATGGAGACAAGTGTAATCAACACAATCTGGAAACTATAAAGAGCAGCATGAGTTTACACTGAAAACTAGTGAAAACACCTTTTTAATGTGTTTGTTTGTAACAGTGTTGATGAATATGAGTTTACGTAGACTTGTTTGTTGACGGTATATCTTCTATATTGCTGACAGGTACATAAAAATGACAGCCATAATGGATTGTGTCCTGTATGTGCACGTTAGGAGGCGCCTCCTTTTGTCACTTGAGTCCTTCCATGTATGTCCGCCTACTGTTTTTCTTCCCAAAAAAACCATCTGCGGCTGGCAAACTGTCTGTTTGCTGTGATTAAAGCAGAGCTAATACCAGCAATAATGCATTTATGCTCTTCAAAGCGCACAACATGCACTTTCATCTTTGTTCCCTGCATCACCTGCCTGCTCCTCTGACTGGTGCCATATTTGGAGGCTTTATATTCAGTCTAGTGTCCGCACAGCCAATCACGTTGAGGTGTGGGAGTCCCAGCTGGTCTGACTCCCTGGCGGTTGCCTGGCAACTGGGACTGCTGCTTCGTAATTCAATCCCTGGAAACATCCTGCAGGGGTTTACGTTGGAAAGAGGCAATAAGAAATTATTAGCAAGACGCACCGGGGGGAAGCAAATGACCCAGGATGGACTCCATTTCCCAGACTGCTGGAGCAGGAACGTGAGATGGTAGTGTTTGATAGGGAACGCAGTGCACATGGGATACACAATGTTCCTACGCAGCAACATCTCACACAAAAACAATCATAACCGTCCTTATAACGTAAAACGATCTAATAATAGAGCGTGAGAAAATAGCTTTTACTGTCATGCTCAAAAACATCAGACTCTTCCTCTCTATTTGGGGCAACTGAAGCATGAATACATTACAAGCATCACGACACAGCAGTGCTCAGAAACACTGGCTTGATCTGTCCAATAGGGTGCAACAACCAGTTGTCACTTACATTAAATCACAAGCTCTGCTGCTGCTCCAAGGAATTAGACACTGCAAGGGTTAAAAAGTGGGAGGACGCAAAATGGCTTGAAGTCAGGAGTGTGTGTGTGTGTGACACGGAACAACCAGAAAGACAAGAACAGAAGAGCTGAGCGAGGAATATAATATGCATGATGCTAAGAGATAAGCGGGAATTTTTGCCTTTTTCTGAATCGTTTTATTTCTGCATCTCTCTCCATCCTGCAACATCTCTGCCTTGCTCTGCCTTTTTTTTTTTTACAGCATCTGCAGCTGCAGTCAAATTGCTCTCATCTCTTTAAGTGCACTGGGCCTGAATTCAAATTGTGTATGAGTGAGTAAGGACTTTGTTTGGGAACTCCTGCCAAAGAGAGAGATCAGAAAAGTGAGCCATCAGAGGACACACTGGGACTCAGTGTGGTCCAGGGAGAGCGAGAGAGCGGTGAGCCGTGAGGTAAAATGAGTCTAAACAACGGTCAAAGTCTGACCGCCAGTGGACAGGACTTGACCAGGAATAGCAGCAGCGGCCGAGCACCCTGGGAAGATGCTAGGACAGTTTTGAAGCCGTCCACCCCAACGAGGAAACCTAAACCAGTGAGTATCTCTACAGCTTGACTTATGCAGCATCCATGTGCAGGAACAGTTTCCACAGCTTTATAAACTATCAGAGTTATTGACAGCAAACAGGATCCCTACTGCGCATATAAGAAGTGAACTATGAGCTGAATTATGCTGCTCTTACTTGCCGACCAAGACACTATCAAGGCTATTTATTCTCCATGACGAATGACGAACAGCAGACACTGACCCCTCAACTTGCTCAAAATCTAACTTTAGTAAACACAGCAGGAGGGTTAAAGCAGGTCGATGCATCTTTTATAGCCTTTAGTCAATAAATTTACATAGCAATGTGTCTTGGTGAAACACGATAGGAAGGTTAGCGAGGCCTTGTTGTGTTAGCTGGAAACTGAGCGAGGTATCGAGGTGTCTTGTGTCAGATCAGGTGGAACGTTCTCTGTGCAGGATTCAGAAACTTCATTTGGATTCCTTAAAATGCAAGGACTGATACAACTTCAGGCACTTTTAGGCTGAAGTGAGGTGTCTCCTTGCAGGTTTCACATCAAAATAACTTACAGTTTTAACAGATTCAGCACGTCAGATTCATTAAGATCGTATTTATAAGGTTCAGGCTACTCAGAATCATTAGTTAATTAACTAATTAATTATTAGGATTAGTTTTAGTTTAGTTTATTTTGCTTTATTAATCTCAAACTACACACACACATATATAAATACAGAATAAGTAATGCGTATATAAAAGAATTAGAATTAGAATAAAACTTTATTGATCTTTATTGAAATTGCTACACCAGAAAAAACAACACAATACATAAGCATTACTGAGAATTTAAGTACAATATTCAATAAAAGAGAAACAAAACAAAACAGAAAAGATCTGATATAAACACAATATTGCACATACACACACGTCAACTTATATCTAGTTTGAGAAGGAACAGAATGAAGCAAAAGCTTATCTAGTTCTGCCCCTTCTTTACAGTGTCAAAAAAACAACAACAAAAACGAACAAGCTCATAAACAAAAGAACAAATAACCAAGACCAAGATCAATTTCTACATATTCACCCAAGGTGCTCATCATGAAAGCAAAGCCACAAAGCATCCCTTGTACCCTCATTCCAAATCATTATCTAATATCCACATAAAATAAAAGACCACAAGCAGCTATGTGCACAGTTTTAACTTATAAAACAAGAAACCTCTCAGAACTAATAGTCAAAATACGAGCTGTGACACAGACTGATTATACAGTCTCAGCCTCCAACGAGTTAACGAGCTCCAGCCGCTCTGGTATGTGGACCTTCACTATCAGGCTCTTGTAGAGGAAAGTACTTCATATCGCGCTGTCACTTCTCCTCCGTCACATCAGCTCACTTAGTTTATCCACCGTTGTTACGTCAGGAAGGAGGCAATCAAGCCTTTATTGCATTATTCCTGCCTTCTGGGAACCGTCAGACAAATCAGCAATAGTTTTATCAATATTCAGCTGACCTCTGCTCAGAATGTGATCAGTCTCCTACATTCAGATCTCTGTCACACCATCATCATCAGCTCTTCCACAGAATGAGATGTTTATAACCTGTCGTCCTCCACAGCCGAAGCCGGAGAACGCCGTCACCATTGCCGTGTCGGCCCGAGTCCTCTTCACCATGGAGAAGGAGCAGCAGATCTACGAGCAGCAGGGCATGGAGGAGTACATCAAGTATCAGGTGGAGCATGAAACGGAGCCGTTCAGCCCCGGGCCGGCCTTCTCCTTCGTCAAGGTCAGAGATGATGGAGAGAACCACTGTGTTAAACCCAAAGCAGGGCAATTCCTTATCAGTGTTCGTGCCTCTGGAGGACGAGAACCCACGCTAACACGCTCATCCCCTGCAGTGATACATCATTATCCGCTTTTCTTTTTTTTTTTATAACTCAGATGTGTGTTTTGGTCGTGTTCCCAGGCTCTGGAGGCTGTGAACGCTCAGCTGAGGGAGCTTTACCCCGAGAGCGAGGAGCTGTTTGATGTGGTGCTCATGACCAACAACCACGCATACGTTGGATTAAGACTCATCAATACCATCAATCATCACCGTGAGTTGCCAAAAGAAACGATAACGTGTGAAATATCCTCTTTGGCCTGGTGTGTGTGTGTCCTCCTCCAGCTCCGTGTTTTTAAAAAGACCTTCAAAGCCCCAGTGTGTAGAATTAATGTGAGCGTTTTTCAATCCGTTTAATTTTTCTCTTTGTAGAAAAACGAGATAATCTTGTGTTGGTGCAGTTTATACACGCTGCCTTTAGTTCATCTCAGTGGGATGTGTGCACTGCAGCTGTCAACACTTGGTGTGATTGTGTCTATCCTACACATTTATGCAACAATATGATCACAAACCATAATGACAAAGACTGGATTTCAAACCATA